ATAGGAACAGAATGAGTTGGAAGGGACCTTGGAGGTCTTCTAGTCCATCCCCTCACCCAAGCAGGAGACCCTATAGCATTTCAGACAAACGACTCTCCAATCTCTTCTTAAACGCCTCCAGGGATGGAGCACCCAGATCTTCTGGAGGCAGGCAGTTCCACCGGTTCATTGTTCCCACTGTCGGGATTCTCCTTCGTTCCAGATTGCTTCTCCACTCGATTTTGGAAGAAACACCTTTGGGACAACCACGACCTGGATGGCTGACAGTCTCCACGGAGGCCCAGTTACGACGACTGGCCTCTCCGGACAGCGTTAGAATAGAATAATAACTTTAATGGTCACTTTGAATGTGCGCTCTTCGGCCTACATGAAAAGATGACATTCTTTTTTTTTTTTCCTTTTAATTGGGGGAGCTCCCTGCCTGCTTCAGACCCTGGTGGGTGCAGGGTCCGAGTCCGCCCAAGCCCCCTCCCCACCTTGGAAGTCCCTTTTGTGACTCCTGGGAAAGGATGGGCCCCACCCTTGGAAGAGAGGATGCGGTCAAGGCAGGACGTCCCTTCAAGGGCCTCTTAATTTGGGTGGATATTTTTCCCCCCCCCCCCCCGTCTCCTTTCCGCACTCTGACCGTCTCCTTCCGCTTCCTGCTCGGTAGGACCCAGCCGCCCCCCAGCCTCCCCGTGGGACCCAGCCACAAGCTAGCCGACAACTACTACTGCACGAGAGACGGGCGCAGGGAGGCCTTTCCGCCCATTGTCCTCATGGCGGCACAGAAGAAGCTGGCGCCCGGAGCGGAAGCAGGAAGGTAGGCCTCCCCCCCCCTCCGCCCCTTCGGCCACCCCACGGAGATCCAAACGACGGAGGCCTCTTTTGCAAAAAGGGCCCGCTTTCCCTCCTTCCTTCCTAAGGAAGCATCGTGGGGAGCCCAGCTAAACAGATCCTTGTTTGCCGACGCCATTTTCCGGCTTTTTGAACATTGGTTGAACCTCCAAAGCTCTTGGCTATGTGTGGAAGAATTCTCCTTCTGGGTTCGGTTCCAAGTGGGGGAAAAGACACTGGAAACATGGAGGCTGTTTGGGAAGATGGTTTAATGGTGGACGGGACCACGTGCCTCGGAGCTCCAAAGAAGGAAAAGGGCTGAGATGCTGAGAGGGATGCTGGGTTTTATACCCTCTGTTGGGATTTGAATTGGAGCTTGTGTTCTGATTGGTGGTCAGGCTCCCATGGGGCCGTGCAGGGGCAAACTCTGATAGGCTGTCCTGAGTCCCAGTTGAGTCTTGCTGGGTGATGATGTCATGAAAAGGGCTTTGGCCAATTCCTATTATAGCTCCCCCTGGAGTAGATCTTTGTTATGTAAAATAGGCTGGCCCAGACCTTAATGGCCCACTCATTAACAAAGGTGGGGGTGAGTTTCTGCTCTTTTTTAGAGGAAATATTCTGCCTTTTTTTTAGTACATCCTAAAATATTTCATTTTCCTAGGAGAGGGGCGGGTTTTAACTTCCAACAGCTATTTTGGTGCTTTCAAAAGGGATGCTCCAAGCCTACCCCTCTTGCAACAGGAACATGCTTTTGGGGGGGGGGTTTAAAGGCCTACACACACACACACAAACACACAAACACACAAACACACACCCAGATTTTCCCTGGCTTGGTTCTCAAAAGCTGTGAGGTTTCTTGCTTGGGAAGCTGGGGGAGAGAGAGAGACAGGCCTTTTATTTACGTTATTTGTGGCCGTTTGGAGCCGACCTTCTCTCTTGTCTGCCATAAAATAAAAAAAGGTGTGCCATAAAACAATTTAAAGCATTGATGGAAGAAATATCCTCCTGGGTTCAGTTCCAAGTGGGGAAAAAGACACTGGAAACATGGAGGCTGTTTGGAAGGTTTAATGGTGGACAGGAGGACCACGTGGTCTGGGGCTCCCGAGTGCAAAGGAAGGATGATCACATGCTCCAAGGTGAAGGAAGAGATCGAGAAAAGGGGGGCTGAGGTGCTGAGAGTGCCCGGATTTTATAACCTTTGTTGGGATTTGAATGGGAGCTTGTATTCTGATGGGTTGTCAGACTCCCATGGGGCCATGCAGGGGCAAACTCTGTAGGCTGTCCTGAGTTCCAGGCTTGCTTGAGCCTTTGCTGGATGATGCACTGAAAGGGTTTTGGACAATTGCTATAGCTTTACCTGGAGATCTTTGTTATGTAAAGGCCCAGGCCTTAATGGCCCACCCATTAACAAAGGTGGGGGTGAGTTTCTGCTTTTGAGTTTCTACTCTTTTTAGAGGAAATATTCTGCCTTTTAAATATTTCCTAGGATATTTCAATTTTCTAGGGAGGGCGGGGGCTGGACCGAGAAGGTAGGACTGGGCCAGCCACTCTTACTTATTTACGTTTGTTTTGTTAAATGTATTAAATTTCTATGCAGCTCGTCTCCTCTAAGGCGATTCAGCTTTTCATGCCTAAGGTGGGACTAGAACTCACCTATCCTGGCTAAAAGTGACCCAGCCAGCTTTCATACTTAAGGCGGGACTAGAACTCACCGTCTCTGGTAATAGGCCAATTCTCCCAGCCAGTTTTCATGCCTAAAATGGGACTGGAATTCGCCCTCTCCTGGCCCAAAGCCACCCAGCTGCCTTTCATTCCCAAAGCAGGACTAGAACTCACTCGCCTGGTGCCTTAACCACCAGAACAGGGGTCTCCAACCTCCGTGGACTTAAGACTCGCGAACTCAACTCAGCAAAGCTGGCTGAAGAATTCTGGGAGTTGAAGTCCACAAGTCTTAAAGTGGCCAAGGCTGGAGACCCCAGCCCTAGAACCAGGTGGCTCTTTTCATCCGTGAGTTGACAGCCTGGGGACGCATCCAGCTTGGGGAAGGTGTTCATACAGCCTCTGACTCTCCCCGTTTCTGACCCACAGCTCCGACTCTTCCGTCACGAGGACGGAGAAGCTGCCCGTGACCCCTGGCACCCCCCCTCGGAAGTGGGAACTGTCCAAGGACGAGCCCTATTTGTGAGACTGTCCCCCGGGGGCTCCAAGGCAGGGTTGCTTGAGAGCAGCCAGTCGGGTCTTGATACTTGCTAGGATGAGCATCACCACCTAAGGACTTTTTTCTCCACCTGGGCTAATTAAATAAATGCAACCCATGATGTAACTATTAAGTTGTATGTGATTTTAAGGGGCGTGTTGGGCTGGGAAAATAGAATTTGAGGAGCAGATGTTGGAATTGTTAACCCAGCTCTAACAGCCAGAATAAACGAAGGCACAAGATATTGGTTAAGAGTGGATTCATTTATTAAATTTCTACCCCGCCCCATCTCACCTGACTGCAGCTGGGAGACAGCCTCACCCTTCATGTAAATACAGGCATAAATTAAAAACAGAATGGAAACAGTTTACAGGACCACAGTTGAGCCCAGAATCTAAGTTGCTAAGTAAGATAAGGGAGCTATGCCCCATTTTACAACCATCTTCACAGTTGTTAAGTGAATTGCTGCAGTGGTTAAGTTTAGTCACATGGTCTTTAAGTGAAACTGGCTCCCCCTACCCCATTGACTTTGATCTTATGACCGAGGGACACTGCAAGAAATATGAGCAGCCGGATGTTGATCATGTGGCCATGGGAGAGGCTGCAATGGTTGTCTGGAAAACATCCCCGAGTCCCTTTCTCCGGTGCCTTTTTAGCTTTGTCACTAAATGAAGTGACAGAACTACCTGTACAACTTTCAGGATATGAAGTATAAAGGTATGGCGAATGGATGGATGGATATAGATGACAGAGATGATAAACAGATATAAAGATAGATATAAACAGATATGACAGATGGTAAATAGGTAAAGATAGATGATAGATATATAGATGATATAAACAGATGAGAGATAAACATAGATGACAGATGACAGGTTGTACTACCTGTACAATTTTCAAGATACAAAGTATCAAGGTATGGAGATTAGATTAGTTGGATGGATGGATGCATAGATAGATATATAGATATAAATGATATGATAAACAGATATATAAACAGGTATGACAGATGATAAACAGGTAAAGAGATTATATATAAACAGATAAGATAAATGTATAGATAAGCATAGATGGCATGATAAACAGATATAAACAGGTGACATGATAAACATAAAGGCAGATATAGATGGCATCATAAACAAGATATAAAGATATAGATGGATGGAGGACAGAATTAGACAATCATACCAGATAATAGAGATGATTGACAGATCGTGTCCCCCACACACACACACACTTTCCCAATATGCAGGGCTGGGGTTGACCAAAGCAAGCAGCCCAATTTCTGACACCCCAAATGGATCAGGTTGAACCTCCCTCCAGCTGAGCGGCTGCTTTGAGCCCCTAAGGCCCCCCAAATAACCCAGGAGGAGACACACAACCCCTTCCCCCCCCCCCCCCCCCTGCTAAGACAGCCGCTGGCATCTGGGAGCGACCCTGGCCGAAGCTTGTCCTGGAAAGGGGGCTGCCGAGCACAAGCCGAAGACTTTGTCGGTAGACTGCTCCTGAAGCAGGGGGCTCTTCTTTGCTGTTTCCCCCACGCCAAATCCCAGCGAGTTGGGGGAATCGGCTGAGCCCAGGGGTGGGGGAAGCAGCTGGAATTGCCCCCTCCCACGCCTCCCCAGACTCAGCAGCCTCGATTTGCAACCGGCCGCCGCCGCCGCCCCCCCACCCTCCATCCCTGGGACTCCGCCGTGCAAAGGACCCGAAGCGCATGCCGCGGATCCTTTCCCGCGGGGAGACTGCGCATGCGCTTTCTAACCGGCTGCACGCTTCCTCCCCTCCGCATGCGCGACTCGGAGGCACGGCTCCTCCCCCCAGCGCCTTCTTCGCTATTGCGCAGGCGCGCTCCTTCTTCGGTGGTTTGCAAGCTGGCCGGGCGTTCAGTCGGTCAGACGGCGGCCTCGGAATCATGACGCGGTTTCTTCTCCTCTTGCTGCTGAATTGGGAGGCCGGTGAGCGGAGGAAAGGGAGGAGGGAGAGTGGGAGGAGGAGGAGAGGATTTTTTTCCACACGACGGGCTCATTCATGCCCTCAAACACGTCCCGCGGGCGCCGATTGGTCGAGCCCCCATCTCAGGCCCCGCCCAGCAGGCGGCCATTGGCTGTTCTGCCGCCCCACCTCCTCTGGGCTCGCTTTCCACGCCCCCGGGCCGCACGTGCACCTCGTGCGTCCCCCCGCCCGCACTTTTCCAAGGTCAGAGGTGAGGCCGTTGCCTGGTTGCCAAGGGGAACGGGCCTACCTGCCCAAGGGGGGAAAGTCGAGCCTTCCTCTAGTTAAAGACACCCCAAAAAAATCCCAGAGTCAAAAGTTTTTGCAGCAACCTGAAAGGCCTAAATGAAACGCTAAGGGGGCGGGGGATGTAGGATTAGCCCACCCCCACCCCAGCTTCTCTTAGCAGGTGCATTTGTGCAGTATTTGCCTGGCTCCTTGTGGCCTCTCCTCATGCAGGATTCCTTACTCTGGCTCCCCGCGCTCTTTTCATTGATCTCTTTCAGTGCCTCGGGAGGGGTTGGACTCCCAGACCCAGAAGCCTCAGCCAGGGCCCTCTCAGTCCAGGCTTCCCTATGGAGGCCCAGGATTCCCACTGCCCCCTCCCCCCCCCTTAGATCCTTTGCATTTCAGACATTGGCCTGGAATGGTCTAGGGTCTCCTGCTTGAGCAGCGGGTTGCACTAAATGACCTCTGAGGTCCCTTTCAACCCTGTCCTGTGATTCCAGGGTCTCCTGCGTCAGCAGCAGGTTGGGCTAGAAGACCTCCAAGGTTCTTTCTGCCTCTCATTATCCCATAAGGGCCTCCTGCTTGAATGAGGTGGAGATAATCTCTGAAGTCCCTTCCAACTCTGTCCTTCTAGCAGCAGGTTGGACTAGGTGACCTTCAAAGGTCCCTTCCAGCTCTGTTATTCTGTGAAATTTAATACTTCTGTATTTCCTTCTGCAGATGAGGATGGGCTCTGGATCCCTAGATTGGAGGGGTCCCCTTTGGGCCTTGGCTTATAGCCCCCCCCCCCCCATCAACCAAAGGGGGTTGGGGCTGCCCCAGCTCTTTTAAACCCCCCCCTCCTTTGCTTAGATTCCCTCCCCAAAGAATAAGTGGGGAGCAATTAAGCCACTGCAAAATAATTAGCACCTGAACCTAATTAGAGATTAAAATAGAGCAGCAAAAGCTTTGCAAGCATTGATTGCGTGTCCCGCTCCTCCCCAAAAAGATTGTCTCTAACACCATCTCCAAGGAGGGCCCCCCCTCACCCCTTCCCCATTGATGCTGGTCCCTTCCACCCTTCCCAGCCTGGGGGGCTTCTCAGAGGAGTCCAGGTTTTGCATTGATTGACTGATTGCCATCAAGTTTGCTCTTAGCAACCGATCTCCAGGTGTGCCACTGGGGCTTCACAGGATCCAGGTTCCAGCCCAGGAGTTTCTTTTAGGAAAAACCCAGATTGGCCTCGTAGGAAGACTTGCGCTTGTGAGCTGCCCAGGATCACCATGGGAGGAAGGCAGCCGTAGAAGTATATATATGAATAAATACAGCCCTACGACCTCTTGTTAGAGTCACACTCTCTAACTGTGATTTGGGTTGGTCCACAAAACATTGTTTTATTTCACCCTGCCAACAAAATAAATAGTGGTTAGTTAATGATTACTTCCCTGGTAAAGATTCAAGGTCAGAGTCGCAAGGTCAGAGTGGGCTGAAAGATTTGCAATGGGGGGGGGAGGCAGAGAATATACCTGAATTTACTCCATTCCTTTTGATTCTTGCACATCCATCCTTTTCGACACCTTTGCCTCTCTTTCGACATCTGATCAGCCTCCTCCACTCACTGTTTTCTCTCTTCCTTTCTGCCTGCAGGCCTCTCCTCTTCCTCCTGCCCTCTCGAGAGCTTCCAGTGCCAAGGGGGAGGCCAGGTGCCGTGGTGCCTAGGCTACGAGAGGCAGCCCAGCTGCCAAGATGACACAAACGGGTGCCAGCAGCCGGGAAGCATCTGCAGGAATCACACCTGTCGGTGCGGTAACAGCAGTGGGCCCTGCCTGCCATTTGAACGGTTTTGCGACCAGCACCAGGATTGTCCAGATGGTTCGGACGAGGCCAAGTCCCTTTGTGCGTCCCCGGTGGGCCTGCCCGAGGAGGAGGACGACGACTGCGAGAGCAACGAGTTCCGATGCCACCCGGGGGCCGAGTGCTTCCCCCTGTCCTTCAAGTGCGACGGCCACCCGGACTGTGAAGACGGAGCCGACGAAGAGAGCTGCGGCACGGATTGGCCAGAGACTCCAAGGACCCCACAAATAACTCCCGAAGGTGGGCTGAGCTGTGGTCCGATTTTGGGGTGCCAAACGGTGTTTCTGCTGGCCGGTCTTTCTTTGAATTGCAACTTCGTTTTGTAGGCAATCCGGAGCGAGCTACCTTTGCCCTCGTGGTGTCTGCTTGCTGAAGCTGCACCTCGCTTGCTGTTCAGTTATATTTTGTATTTCGCTGTACGCCGCTTGTGATTATATGCTGTTTATAACTCCCAATCCACCGGGTTAAAGTAGTCTGTAGATTAGAAATATATACCTTGTGTAGCTGGCTGGGAACGAGAGAAGCTTGGGGGCTACTCCTGGCAATACTTTTTGCTCTCTCTTTTTTTTCTCTCTACATTCTGCATTATTTTTAACCAGAAAGAAATGAGCAGGATGGGACTCTGTTGCTTCCCCTGTTGTTCCTGCATATATCTTCACCCTGTGCTTCATTTGGAGAGACGAAGGAAGTTTAGAAGCTCCCGTGAGAATCCCACCCTCCGCGGTGGTTTCCCCCTTTTTGGGCAGAGCCGTGTCCTTGGCACCTGGAAGGGCAGAATGCCATCTCCTGGAGGAGGCTGCCAGCCAGGTCCTGCCAGATTACTTTAGAATTTGATTTAGAATTGCTTGAGATTTCAAGGTATTATGGGGGAGTCTGCAGAGGTTACCACGTCCCACTTTTTTTTTTGTTTTAACAGCAGCACGAAAAATGGGTGTGTGTGCCCACCCTGCCTCCAGTTATAGTGCTGAAATAAAGTAAATCGGAGCATTTGGGCATCTGCGTTCTGTTCGTTCTCATCTTCGGTGCTGATTCGGGATCAGTTCTTCCCTTCTGTAAATCTGTTATTATCTTTTTGCATCGGGCTGATTTTGAGAATGCTGGGAGAGAGAAAAATTAAATTTCACCGCCCAGACCTAAAGCTTGCTGTGTTTTGCTGTTGGGGGCAGTTCTGAATTTCCAGCTTCTACACCGGGTTCTGCCTGGGCCAGAGTCACCCAAGGGATCCACAGCAGGGAGTTTGCCAATGACTGCGGCCCACTCCCCTTACGTTCGGACCCTGGCTCTCCCCCTCCCCACTCTTTCCTTGGGGTGACTTCGGTTGCCTTCTGCTGCTTCTAATTAATTGGGTGGCTTAATTCAGTATCTCTCTAATCTTAAGGCCTTTAACTCTTAATCCACATCTGTCATTTACGGAGGTTGGTGTAAATTGGACTTGACAGCATTCCCTTTCCCAATCCCTTTCATTTCTTGGCCCCATTTCCAACTCCCTTTGGTGTGCCAAATGCCGCTTGTCTCCCATACGTGCAAAAGGGCAGGCGTGTTTTCAGTCTCTCCTCTTTCTCACATGTTTGCTTATGTGCGTCTTTAAACCCACCCTGCTTAAAAGACCCTGCCTGAATACTGCTTTTAGCCAAACCCTATCAGAATACATACCAGGACACCCTGAGATGTTTAAAAAAAACCTTTCGTTACAAGATGAATTTAAGAAATAAATAAATGAAATCGGGAGAAGTCCAGTAGCACCTGTTCTGACTTTTTTTATTTTATTTAAAAATGAAAACAAGCTGCAGATCAAGGAAGTTCTGCCTTTTCATAAATGTGGGGAAATTAAATTAAATGCTGTTAAATCCCTTTGGAGGTTTTTGCCACTCTAGACTTAAACTCAGCTCTCTGCCTTACACGGAGATGCTTGAAATACTCTGGCTGCCTTCCCTCCGCCCTGGGTCTCTTGGCCTAAATGTGCTGACAGGACCAATGTCTAAGGCAGGGGTGTCCAACCTGGGCCCCTTCTGGGAGTTGAAGTCCACAGGTCTTAAAGGGGCCCAGGTTGGACACCCCTGGTCTAAAGGTTGCATCCCCAGATCTGGGTAACTGCGGTCCCCGTAACCCACCGGTGGGACACACCAGGACCGTTCAGGGAGGCGGCTGCTGGCCTGCCTGCCTGCCTGAGAGGAAGAGTCCAGAGGGAAGGTGCTTCCCTTGGAGGGTCTGACTATTTATCGCCTCCCCAAGTTGCATAATCATTCCGGTTTGGTCTGATCCGACTCCCCCAAACTTTCCCAAGCCATAAATAACTGCTTGCAACAATCTTGAGTTCCTCGCAGGATGTCTGTTTTGTGAGATACCTCAATGAAGCCGGCTTGTCTTTTTTCTGTTTTTGCATCCTGGTGCTTCTGTTTGTTTTGTTTCCTGCGTTATGTTTTCCTCCTGGGCCTCTTGTTCTCCTCAAAAGACCTTCTGACTTGGATGGCCTCTCGGTTCCTCAGTGTGTCAGCCCCTCTCCACGGCCCTGTCTCTCTCCCAATTGCTTTGCTAAGCTCCTCCTGTCTGTTTCTTTCAAAGAGCTAATTGAGGTACCCAACGCTTCCCTGTTCTGCCCAGGGAAAGGCTGTAAGAATAAGAGTTTTATAGAGATGGATGGATGGATGGAAAGTGGTAGATAGATAGATAGATAGATAGATAGATAGATAGATAGATAGATAGATAGATAGATGATAGGCAGGCAGGCAGGCAGGCAGGCAATTGGATGGATGGATGGATGGGTGAGTGGGTAATGATAGACAGACAATGGAATGGATGGATGGATGGATAATGAAAGAAATGAATAGATGATCAGTAGATGATGGATGGATAGAGATAGATAATGATAGATGGATGGATGGGTAGATTAGATGTAGATAGATGATAGAGAGAGAGATAATGATAGAGATAGATAGATGATAGACAGAAAGCAAGAAAGAGATTAGCACAAGTCATGAATTCAACATACTTAAATGCATCTCTGTGCCAGTCTCTTCATTTTTTTCCACAATTCATCCTTAATCCCATCCTAACATGGAATAAAATTCCGTTTTTATTTATCCCCCACCACCACCACCATGTGTATTACATTAATGTCTGTTTTTTCCTTCGACAGGCAGCCCTGCTCCCCCAGAAACTCCGGCATTGGACCTCTTGACCATCCTGGCCATTGTTGGTGAGTCAGACCGGCCAGGTGATCTCCATCTCCCCCAACAGAATTGGGGAAAGGTTCTGGTTTGCAATGCCGAAATGGCCTCGCGAAAGGAGCAGGCCAGCCATCCTTGGCTTCAGGGAGGGGGGGGGCGTTATCCCTTGCTCAAGGATGCTCAGCGGCCTCTGGGCAGGAGCGGAGGCTGATCCGGGGGTACAGATAGTCCTTGACTTATGACCCCAGGGGAGTCCAAAATCGCCACGGCTAAGCAAGACAATTAGGAGGTGGGTTTTGCTCCATTTTACGACCTCGCCACAGTTGTTAAATGAATTGTTCAGTTAGTCCGATTGTTCAATGAATCTGGCTTCCCCGTTGATCCCGCTTGCCTGGAGGTCGCAAAAGGCGGTCACGTGACCTCAGGACAGCGCCACCGTCAGAAATCCACCTTTTCAGTGCTGTTGTAACTTCGAGTGGTCACTAAACAAATGTTCGGTCAAGGATTACCCGATCGATTTCCATCATCCTGGCACCAAACACGGGGCGGCAAAAGCCATTTTTGGTTCGGTTACGTGGAAATACTGTGGAAATTCCTGCTTTTGGGAGTCTCCGTGAAAACGATCATTCATTCAGATGATTAAGGCAATGTGTTTTAAACAAACCGCCAAGGGGATGGTAAATGGGGATATGACTGAAAATACCAAGAAGGGAACAAGGCAAGGATGCCCCTTCTCGCCATTACTATTTGCACTGACATTGGAAGTACTAAATAGAAATATCAGACTAAAGGAGATAAAAGGCATGGAAATAAAAAAAAGAGGGAAATATAAGCTACAGGCATTTGCAGACGATTTTGTTTTTATTCCAGAAGATCCATTAGAAAGAGGACCTAAGTGAATAAGGATACCATATCCTTATTCACCTCCTTAATACTATGTGATGCGGGAGCTATTTTATCGATGGCTGGAGAATAAATATGGAAGTTAGAAAATAAAGGAGGCTAGCGAGAAATAGGGAGCATGTGGATAGAACAGTTAAGATGGGGATTGTCATAAGAATTAGATGTATTATGTATATCCGTATGAAGTAAAAATAGAGTATTAAAGCTGAAGTGATGAATATGTATAAACTGTAATTGTTGTTGCACAAGATATTTGTACCCAGATGACACACTGTTTAAACCAGAGGCCCCCAAACGCGGCAACTTTAAGGCTGGTGGACTTCATAGCTAGCTGGAGAATTCTGGGAGTTGAAGTCCACCGGTCTTAAAGTTGCCACGTTTGGGGGCCTCTGGTTTAAATGGAAGATGGATTGTTAAATGGGAAATGACCGGGGTTGGTGGGCCTCTCCCTCCCGTGGCCATTCCAGGAAGGAGGCCGGGTTCTGACGCTCCCCTCTCCTCTCTCTTCCCTCTGCCTCTTTTCTAGCACTCCTGGTCACCGTTGTGGCCGCAGCAGGGATCACCCTGTGGGTCTCCAGAAGGGGCAAGGGCCTCCTTGCCCAGCTGCCCCACAAAGCAGCTTTCAAGCAGCTCATCCTAGCCGAGCACCTTTGAGATCGGCCGGCCGGCCAGCCAGGTAAGCCCCCCCCCCAAATCTGATTGGATGGACTTAGCTGGACTTTCTGTCCCTGGGAAGCTTCAACACCGGGACCCCCACCCGATTCTCTCTCCGCCTTCTGCACCTGCTTCCCCTGCCCAAGGACTTTGCCTGACTTGGGGCTGGACACCTTTACTACGTTCTCCTTTGCTACGCTGTTACGTCCCGTATGTTCAGCTCGCCTCTTGTGATCAGAATCAGAATGAGAATTCTTTTATTGGCCAAGTGTGATTGGACGCACAAGGAATTTGTCTTGGTGCCAATGCCCTCCGTGTACATAAATCTCACAGACGGGGGTGCCACCAGCGCAGAGCGCGATGTTTAAAAAATACAGTATTTTCTTGAGGTGGGCGTTGGGAGAACATGGCAGTGTCCCAGTCCTGCCCTGGACCACCTCGGCCCAGCGGTTTCGGGAGTGGCACCCCAAGGAAGCAAGGCCCAGGCAGTTGGCCGAGGTCCACTCTTTCCTTTTTTGTAGGGTGGCGGGAGGGGGGTGGTGGAATACGGCTTCCCTCTCCATTGTCTCCTTCTGGGCCGTCCAGGCAGATCCTCAATCATCCAAGCAGCTTCTTCCATTCTGAAGAATTCCCCATCCTCTAAGTCAGGGGCCTCCAAACTTGGCCACTTTAAGACTGGCGGACTTCAGCTCCCAGAATTCCAGGAGCTCTGTTGGCTGGAGAATTCTGGGAATTGAAGTCCACCCGTCTTAAAGTGGCCAAGTTTGGAGACCCCTGCTCCAGGTCTTGATTGTCCCCAAAGTGCTTTCTCAGCAGGCAAGTTAGACTTTCTGCTTAAGCCAAAACACCAGCAGCAGCAGCAGCAGCAGCTCACAGCGGATGCCAGTTTCTAGCAAGCAAGCAGGTTAGTTTCTGTTTCACCTTCGAGGTGAGCCGAGAGCAGAGCTAAACCAGGCCCAGGCTCTCTCTGAAGGTTTCAGCCCCAGTTCAGCTGTCCTGGGCTGACCTCGTTACTAAAGCTCCGTCCCAGTCCAGGAATCTCCTCTGACAGCTTCCAAGTAAAGAAATGGCTTCCCGGTCTCTTCTCGTCTTCCTTTCTTGCAGGAAGTTGCTCCTTGCTCCATCCCCGGCCCTCCCAGGAACGAAATCCTTGGGCCTGAAAGGCTGGCGGCCCGGCTGGGACTCCTTGCAGGAGCCGAGACACAGAAGCCACACGGCCTGCAGGCCGTCGACGGAATCCACCTCCTATGGGGGCAAATTAAAATGGACTGAATCCTTCAAATGCCTCTGGGTGTCTCTCGCGGCCTGCTTGGGCCTGTCCTTCCGCAGCAGCCCCAAGCCGCCAAATGCCTCGCTCGGACCAGGCCCTCAGCTGGGCTCCTTCCAGCACATGGATCCCAGCTCCCTTTCTCGGGGGGGTGCTGCTGCTGGGGTGAGGGTGGGGGGTGACTATTTTCTCCTGTTGGTGATTCCCCTGCCCGGTGCCTCCAGGGGCCGTGGGGGCTCCGTCTGTGGGGGTCTTCAAGAAGTGGCCGGACTGCCGTCTGTCTGAAATGCTGCGGGGGGGGGGGGGGTTCCTGCTTGGGCGGGGGGTTGGGCTAGAGGACCTCCAGGGTCCCTTCCGGCCCTGTTAATTCTGTTATTCTCAGCTTCTGGAGGTTTGGGAAGGGCTGACGGATTCTCCTCCCAGGGCTTTTCCTGTTGTGCTGCCCGCTGCCTGGTGGTGGAGATTGCCGCTTCCTTAAATTGCGTGGTGGTTGAGAAGGTGAGCTGTTTTAGGGCAGAAAAGCCACACACACACATTCCCCCCCCCCCCCCCGTCTTGTCCAGCTTGGGGGCCCTGCTTGTGCAGCCCTGGGGGTCTTGAGTGTGAGCATTAAAAATCATTTCCCAACCTTTATGGGCGCCTGGCTTCTTTTGTCCTCCTGGAATCTCCCCACCCCACCCCTCCTTAAAGCGTCCCCTCCCCACCCCTTCTCCAGACCCCTCCTCTTTCCATCTTTACTCCATGCCTGCCTGCCTTTCAGGGCCGCCTTCCCCTCCGCCGGTCCGAGAGCTCCCCCTTACACCAGCCTTGAGGAGGGCCCCAACCAGAAACGCTGCTGTTCTCTGGGACTTCTTCTTCGAAAGCCCCAGGGTCTGCAGCCGTGGAAGTCCTGCTAGCCCCACACACACACACACACACACCTTTGAAGGACTAGCCGTGGTCCAGCCACCCCCCCCCCCCCAACCACCCATTTTGTGAGCCCAGGTAAAAGAGCCACCACCTTTGAGCATCTCAAGCAGGGGTCTCCAACCTGGGCCCCTTGAAGCCTGGAGGACTTCAACTGGCTGGGGAATTCTGAGCGTTGAAGTCTTAAAAGTGGCCGAGATTGGAGACCCCTGATCTAAAGCAGAGACAGGCAACCACGTCAACGTTACAACCTGTGGACTTCCCAGAATTCCTGAGCCAGTGTGGTTCACCCTGGTGGACACCCAGGTGGTAAGGTTGACGTGGGCGCCCTCCCCTGGGTCTAAAACCCACTCATTGGAGATCAGAGCGGCCCACCCCATCCGCCTAGATTAGCTCCTTAGGTTGACATCTTAAGAGCCCAATCTGATTAATGCTTGTAAGGAGCTCAGGAGCAGCTGCTTCCACCTCCACCCAGTTCCATCCCTGGGACTCAGTGGCTTTGCGGGGCTCAGCTGGGCTGGCGGCACCTGAGCTCCAGCGGAGCTGCTAAGAGCAACCCGGAGGCTCCTCGGCAGTCAGCAGAACCCCAGCTCTCCCCTCAAGGCGTCAGCCACGGATGGTGGCCACGCGAGGAGCCCTCGGCCAGCACCATGAGGCCGACGGCGCAAAGGCGGGCCAGCCTCTCGGCCAACATGAGGTTCGGGGTCTGTCAGAAGTGCTGCCGGAGCCCCAACGACGTGGACCTCTTCATCCCCTTCTCTCAGGAGAAGCTGGTGAAGCGGTGGAGCTCCCTGGACAATTTGGCCGAGCGGGCCCAGGACGGCGATGACCTTCCCCACCTGCGCGATCCGCGTTTCTTGTCCCTGAACGTCGGGGGCCAGCACTTCCACATCGCCCTCCAAGTGGCGGCCAAGTACCCGCTCACCAGGATCGGGCGGCTGGCCACCTGCACGGACCCCGTGAAGCGGCTGGCCCTGTGCGACGACTACTCGGTGCTGAGGAAGGAGTACTTCTTCGACCGGGACCCTCTCGTCTTCCACTACGTCTTCCACTTCTACCGCAGTGGCGTCTTGTGGGTCCTGACGGAGTTCTGCTCGGCCAGCTTCCTGGAGGAGATGGAGTACTGGGGGATCCACCTGAAGTATGCCCAGCGGTGCTGCCGGATCCTCTTTGAGGAGCGGCATGACGAGATGGTGGAGCACCTGAAGGTCCAGCGGGAGCTGGAGGCCGAGATGGAGACGGTGGAGAGGGAGGAGCAGTTTGAGGGGAAGTGCCTGGGAAGCTTCCGGAAGGCCATCTGGAACCTGATCGAGAACCCGTACTCCTCCACCCTGGCTAAGATCACGGCCGTCTTGTCCAGCCTGTGCGTCCTGCTCTCGGTGGTGGGCATGACCCTCAGCACGGTGAAGGAGATGCAGGGCAAGGGCAGCAAGCGGTGCCTGGAGCTCCTGGAGACGGCCTGCGCCGCCTTCTTCACCCTGGAGTACCTCCTGCGCCTGGCCTCCACCTCCAGCCCGCAGCAGTTCTTCCGGGCGGCCTTCAGCGCCATCGACCTGGTCTCCATCCTGCCCTTCTACATCCAGGTGGCCGTGGAGTCGCTGGGCGAGGAGGACGCCAAGGACACCGAGGAGCTGCACCAGATGCGCAACGTGGGCAAGCTGGGCAAGATCCTGAAGCTCATCAAGCTGATGCGCATCTTCCGCATCCTGAAGCTGGCCCGGCACTCCACGGGCCTGCGGTGCTTCGGCTTCACCCTGCGGCAGTGCTGCCAGCCGGTCTGCTGCCTCCTCCTCTTCATCGCCATGGGCATCTTCACCTTCTCCGCCCTCATGCACTCCGTCGAGCACGACGTCCCGGGCACCAACTTCACCAGCATCCCCGACGCCTGGTGGTGGGCGGCCGTAAGTCAGCCCTCCTGCGCACGCCCCCACCCCCACCCCCGTGACGGGCTCCCGATCATCACAGCGGCAGGGCTGGAAGGGGCCTCGGAGGCCTTCTAGTCCAGCCCCCCCCTCCCCCGCTTAGGCAGGAGACCCCGTCCCACTCCAGAGCAATGGCCGCCCAGCCTCCTCTGAACAGCCTCCAGCGTCGGAGCCTTCGCAGCTTCTGGGGGGCAGTGGGTGAAAGTCCCAGGCAGGCGGCTTCTCTCCTTGGCGCCTTTCCACCCGGGGTCCCTTGCCCTGCCCTGGGGAGGCGGCTGCCCCCCCCCCCAAGTCCTGGAAGATTGTCCTCCCCCCCCCCGCCCCCCCCCCCGCTCGGCGGGGCAGCCCCGGTTCCCCCCCCCCCCCGGGGGGTTCGGGGCCCCCCCCCCCCGGAGCCCTGGGCCTCTTTGGGGCGGAGGTCTCCTTGGGAACGGAGAGGAGGCCCCGAGCCTCAGGTGAGTTGGCTTCAGCTCAGGAGGGCCTCTTTCCCTTCTCCTCCTCCCCCCCCCCCCCCCCCCTCCCGCTGCAGGTGAGCCTCTCCACGGTGGGCTACGGGGACACGGTGCCGGACACCTTCCTGGGCAGGGTGGTGGCCTTCGGCTGCATCAGCTTCGGCATCATCCTCAACGGGATGCCCATCTCCATCCTCTACAACAAGTTCTCCGACTACTACGCCAAGGTCAAGTCCCAGGAGGGCAAGACCAGCGTGGCCCTGAAGGCGCCCCGGAAGTACAACCTCCAGGAGAGGCTCTGCAGGAGGGTGAAGCAGTGCTGCTGAGCCCAGCCCAAGGGCCCCCACCCCATGCCCCATCAGAAGCCCCACCTCCGTGCCAGGCCGGCCTGCTCCCTCGCACCCGGGGCAGCTGGGATCCTCGGCCCCTCCAGACGCTGA